AAGTTACATGTACAAGCTTGTGTAGACTTTCTCTGTCAGAAACATATAAATTATTAAATTTTAGTTATTGTGATTATTTAACTGACTATATGGCACATGCACTCACTGAGCATTGGGAGATGGGATTCAGAAAGCAAGCCACCAGGTCCTGTTCCAGAACTCAAACCATGGTCAGATATGTAATATTCCAGCACCTTAACCTGCGTTTTAAGCGACGGGGTCCGGGACACGAACCGCGGTCGACCACGTGGGAATCCAGCGACATAGCCATTACGCCAACTGCTGGTTCCCAGAATTTCTTTTGATAGAGCTGTGAATATTTTAAAATATATTAGCACTAAGTCATTTTTTAGAATTTCTAGAATGGTAAAAATTTAGACCAGCCTATGGAATTATGGTTAAGGCAGTAGTATCCACATGCGAATTGCATGTTTTGATTCCTGAACCCAGTATCTTGGGAATCACAGTAGGCACATGTACTTGGACAACCTAAATCCTGAAAGAAGGGAGAAATGGAGGAACATGAATTGTGCCATGAACCTTCCTCCTTGGGGATGATTTTTAACTTTCCATCTGCATCCCCAAGAAACGCATGAACCCTTTATTAATTATTTAATAAAGTTTTTCTTGTTTTAAATGGTCTGATTCTCTTTCTCTATCAGGAAATATAATATTTTTGTATTTAATTTTATTTTGATGTCTTTTATACATTGAATCACATATGTCACTTAGCTTGTGAAGTGAATGTTCCAACAGGAATACATTTCTCACCATTCCAATTGAGATTTTGTACCTTTTTTCTAATCTTGAATTCTCTTAAACCTACCAGTTGACCCCAGGTCCACTGTCATTGATTAGAATAGCTTCATTATCATTTGCATTTCTTTTTTTTTTAATTTTTTTTCAGGGAGAGGTTTTTGCTATAGGGTGCCTACACTTGCCAGAAAGAGAGAGCTGGAGAGCCAGGAAGTGAGAAATCACCCCCCAGGGGTGATTTCACACCGCAATCCCTTCTCCTCCATTCTCCTCTCGGAATCTTGGGCACACACACACATGCGCTCAGCGTGAGTGTAAGCCACTCTGTCCAGGATTCAAACTGCATTCGACTACCTGGGAGTTCAGTGGCATAGCCATTATATTAACTGCTGGTCCCACTATCACTTGAATTTCTGCTCCTTCCTAAATATTTGACTACTGAAACTTCAAAGATGGTGTGTACCAGATTCATCTGTGCACTACTCAGTTTTATGCCCAGTTTCAGTTTTTAACTCCAATATGTATATTCCTACTTAAACAGTAACATTTAGTTAAATTTCTATTTTGATTCAGTGCCAAAAAAGTAGTAAAATTTTTTTCTGCACCCCCCTTTATTTATTTATTTTTATAGATGAGTTCCCTATTCAATATTCGTATTTCTCTGTGATTTGATATAGGTGGTCACGTCACAACTTGGTTTTAACCCTATTATATCTTGGTTTTAACTGTTATATCTTTCAGAGTATATCTTTATATCTTTAATCTTCAATGTGTGAATGGCAATTAAACTGCAAATCTGGTTATATAATGTGTCACTTCTTTTGGCTTTATATTATTTATACTCTGTGTTTTAGCAAATGATAAAGTGATTTTCATTTTTATTTGGATTCTATCAATATTTTTGAATGCACAACTATAGTATAAAGATGCTCATAAATATACTTATGAGTAATTAACAGTATGTACATAGAATATTTTATTGGAATTAGGTTAAGTATTTAAATACAAAATCACTTTGTAATTACTTCCTTGAACACATTTACTGATCTTGTCTTTCATCACAGTCCAGGAATAACTTACCTACATATACTGTTTCTACTTCCATTAACATTAGGAATATACTTTGTGCTTTCATAGGAAGACTGCTATAGTTCCACTTTCATGAGAACATTTACATACATGTTCTTAGCATCATTGACTTGAAGAACAAGTTGATAATACAGAAAAAAGAGAAAAATTCCTTTCTATTTTTTTTAGAGTGGTTACCATCAACTTGTGTTTAACTTACTTAATCTAACACATTACTCCAGATACGTATTTATACTCATGTGTTTGTATTAGATAATAAACACCATGATATAGCAGAATATTTATTATGCTTTCATCCCTTGCAGCAAAAACATTTGGAGATCTCTGAAGAAATAGTTGCAATAAATTTAGCAATGAATAAGTTAGCATAGAAATAGGATGTTTGTACTTTATTTTTTTCTCTCTTTACAAAGAGTTCAGAAATATACAGAGGAACAAGCATATACAAACATACAGAGAAGATAAATTTACCATGTTATGCTCTATTTCTCAGGGCTGACAAGGGGAAATGTACTTTTACAGGGGTTCATATCATTTGAGGATGTTGCTATGGACTTTACCTGGGAGGAGTGGCAGCACCTGGAAGATGCTCAGAAGATTCTCTACAAGGATGTGATGCTGGAGACCTACAGCAACCTGATGTTTTTGGGTTAGTGGAACTCCCATGAAGCTCTCTGAAGTAATTACTGTCTCCTTTTATAGTAAATGTACCAGGGTTTCATAATGTTTAATGCTGTTTAGGAGTGAGATTTCATTCTGTGGTTAATGATAATGACACTCCTCTTTAAGAAAATGCCCAAATCAGCCCCTTTATTGAACAGCTGATAAAGCTGAGCCATTGTTACTCTTCAAGTAGCTTACATGAAAAGTTTGGCAAAATTCTACACTGCTTTTTATTAACAGGACAATGCATTGCCAAACCCACAGTGATCTTCAAGTTAGAGCAAGGAGGAGATCCATGGACATTAGAAGAACCTCCCAGCTTGAGCCTCCCAGGTTAGTCAGTGCATAGTTTTCAGGGACTAGTGTAATACATTTTTCTGTTAAAGAATTTATATTTCATTTAGAGGGGAAAACAAAATGTTAATACTGGTGAGGTTAGAAAAATGTAGAAATGCTTTCCTGGGATAAGAGTGTCAAAAAATGGGTATATACTTTTTAAAGTGTCCTACGGGATGACATATTTAGGGTAATTAATATGTATTTTTATTGGCTACAAGTCCTTCCTAAGTAACATTTAAGTGACAAGAGTTTTTTGACTTCTGCAAATAGATGATCTAGAAAACTGTTGACATTAGCAAAGAAACAGTACACAATACACACTGTTACAAGAAAGAAAAGAGGAAAAGGATAAGGAAAACAAATGACACATGAAAATCTTCACTGTTATAAGAAAGAAAAGAGAAAAAGGACAGGGAAAAAAATTGACGCATGAAAATCTTTCAGTGTAAAATTATAGGAAGACAGGAGGTAGATATTTTGAATATTGTTAAAGGTATTAAAGGAAAGGGAAGCATAAAGGAACAAAATAAATCCACTCAGTTTTCAAAAATATTAGTGTAAATTACTACAGTAACATATTAAGGAGAAAGAACTATATTTCTTATTATAGATCAGTACCAATATTTGAAATACACACGAGCAGTGTAAAATAAATTCTCAAATATAATTTATGGAAATGGTTGTCTTTTTCCTACCAAAGAGGATTGATATGACAGAGACTGCTTGTAAGTAAAGTAAATATGGGAAAGCATGTAGTAAGGCAGTTCTTATTGTCCAGTATATAGTTCACATGTGGAAGAAACCATTTTACAAATAGTCTGTCTCATTAAGCAGAAGATGAGAAGATGATACATGAGATGCACACTATAAATGCAGAGAATGTGGAAAATTATTTTTTAAAATCATTTTTACAATAGATTTTAAACGCAGAGTGGAAGATTCCTATTCATAAGAGTAAGGGGAATTCCTACTGTAGAATTAAAACCTAGCTTTTCATCAGTGAGTGCACACAAGGGAAACACCCTATAAATATAAAAAATATAAAAAATCCTTTTTTCAGAGGTCAAAAATTATGGTAACCAGAGAAATTACAAAGAAGTAAAACCTTATGATGTGTGGAAATTACCAAAGCTTTCAACTCTTGTTATACATGAGATAACTCTTACTGGAGAGAAAATTTGTAGATAAAACAATATAGGAATTTATTGTGTATGAACACACTCGTTACTGACCATTTGAAAACTTATACAGGAGAGAAGCTCTATAAGTGTAAACGACGTAAGAAAACGTTTTCTCAGAATTCAGACCTCACTGTATATCAGAGGAGTCACATAGAGAAATTCTGTGAAAATAAATTATGTGGAAAAATGTTATACAAGAAGTCATACTTCACTGTGCATCAGACAACTCACACTGGAGAGAAATCCTATGAATATGGGGAATGTGGAACATCTTTCAGTACCAAGTCAGTCTTGAGTAGACATTGGAAAACTCATTCAGGAAATAAACCCTATAAATGTGAACAATGTAGGAAAATGCGCTCCCTGAAGTCACATCTCACTGAGAATCAGAGAACTCACACAGGAGAAAAACCCATTGAATGTGAACAGTGTGGGAAAACACTCTCCAGTAAGGGGTACCTCACTGTACATAAAAGAACTCACACAAGAGAGAAGTCCTATGAATGTAGAAAAATGTTCTCCTGCAAGTCAGATCTCACTAAGCATTGGAGAACTCACACAAGATACAAAACCTATGAATGTGAACAGTGTAGTAAAATGTTCTCCTGGAAGTCACATCTCACTAAGCATCAGAGAACACACACAGGAGAAAAACCCTTTGAATGCAAACAATGTGGGAAAACATTCTCCACCAAGGAGTACCTCACTGTACATAAGAGAATTCACACAGGAGAGAAGCCCTATGAATGTGAACAATGTA